GAGTCTATATTCGGCTCGGCGAAATCGATGCCTCTGTTCGTCGATTAACCCTCGCTCGAGTCAATACGAACTGTCGACATCGTTGGATCATTCGTGACCCCGACGTTTCACGATCATCTATACATATATGTGTATAGAAATAGGCTTTGTGGTAAATTTTGTTTTATTTGTCTCATTTGTTTCACGAAAACAGAATGTAGATGTTCGGTTATGTGTTAAGATTAACGTCGTGCTTAAATAGAAATCGTGTAGTTTCATCAATTTTTGTTGGAGTATGTTCCATTGAAACTAGTGTAAAGCTGCGTCTACACTGTATAGCAAAAAAAGCGTTATATAACTTCGCCTTAGAACATGTTGTCCAACGGTGTAAAATCTCTCACATTATTTTCAATTTATGTTCTGTACGAAGAAAATGTGATGTTTCGTAAAAATTCCATATTACAGGCAATCTTTCTTACTTCATAGTAACATAAACGTTGTTCATGAAGCTTCGATATCTCTTGAACAATATTTATTTCAGACTTTCGTCTATTTCGTAATGCCTTGGAATATTCAGTACACATTCTATAAGTATGCCCTAGTACTTCGCGCAGTTACGGCGACTTTACTATACTTGTGAGCGAGGAGTGTCATATCGTCTTCCTTAGAACGCTTCGTTACCACATAAACAATTCGCTTGACTGGTATTGATCGTCGGGTCACCAGTGACCCGGCCGCAGGACGAGAGGCCAGAATTGAACGATTCAATGAATCCCCTCTTGACGAGTCGACTATTTCCCGATTCTCGCCGAATTTTCCGTCCAATCGATCCCCGTCTCTCGTCGTTTCCGTGGGTGGCTCTCGACGAATCGTTCAAATTATCCACGACAAAGACGCGACTCCAGCCACGCGTATCTGAACAGTGGGGCTGAGAGCGAGGTCTTTGCGTGCAATTACACGAGACTGTTCTCCGGGGCGGTCTCTCTCGATTAATTGCGCACGCGATATATATCCCGCCGCAAGTGGATGCAGTTTTCTCCGGGGCCGCTAGCGTAATTATCAATTAACTCGCTGCCCTCGTTAAGTGGAACCTTTAACGACATTATTCCGCGTACCTTCGCGTGTGCTCGCTGTCCGTTCGACGTTGTATAATTTCATCGGAGTAATTTCGCCGAGCTTCACCCTCCGACTTTTGATTCCTTTTCCTCATCCGCACCCCTCTAAGCATCCTTTCGCTCCACTTATTTTTTCTTTTTTCGTAGTTGCTGCTAACGAGCTAGATTTCATATTTCGAACGATCAAGATTACTTTCCTTTGACAAAGCAATAGGGATGATCATTTTAAACAGTCGATGAGATTAAACAATTGTTTGTTGAGTGTCTAGTCATTCGAGAAGAAGTATTAGTTTATTAGAAATATTGGAAATTCTCTACGTTTAATCGATTAGAAACGGCGAAATACTTTCTTCTTATCGTTTATTCGTTATTTGGAACTCCTTATCCGAATTATGATTTTGCCCCGTCTCTACCGCCTAGTAGTGGAGATCACGTACAAGCAGTTAACGTAGACCTCTTTGCGAGCATTTATCGCGGAATTTATTGTAATTCCGTTGAAATAATCGATTTGAGGTTTCTTTCTTCGATTCGTCCATCGTCCTAGCAACGTTCCTTTTTCTTCCCAGTCCTCAGCTTTCTTTCCACGGCTACTATTAACGAGCCCGTGGTCTCGAGCGAGTTCCGAGCTTGTTAGTCTTTGGAAGCATAGCGTATCGACGGCTTTTCACGGTGGATACGTGTTTCTCGCGAGTAGTACACTTAGAACTGTGGCCAGCTATTGGTTGAGGGGCCTCGGCTCTTCCCCGAGATACTTGGAGAAATGCAACGGGAACTTCGGTGATTACTTAGTCCGCCCGGAGTGGTATCGATGCTGAGCCACGACGTTACTTATTTACCGAGCAACGTGTACCGCTGCTGTTTCATGCGATTCCCTTTTCTCGGAGAGTTTTTCCGAGCGCGTCGGCGGGACTAGCCTTTTGAAAATATCCTCCAACGACTTCTGTATACCGGGCGGACCTATAATTTTCAGCACTTGGAATATTCACGTTATTTTTAGAGTTAAAAATTATATATATTTTTATATATTATCAATTTCGGTATATTCGTTCTTTTATAATCGAGGTGAAATATTGTTTTGCTGGTATAAACATTTAAGATTTAGAATAAATGTAACACTTGTCATAAGAATAGAATTCCTTTTCTATCTGGGAAAATATTAACAATAAAGTAATTCTTAAGAGTGAAGTCGTAAAAGAAATCGTATGGCAAGGGGTTAAGTCTCTGGATGGGGGTAGCTGGCGTCGTTCCCGTCGATTCGACGAACATATCGAAACGTGTCGCCGAGTGTGGGCGCGGCGGTGACACGTGAAAAGGTTAACGGTGTCCCACATCGCCGTTAATAAATGAACGTATGAAAATCGATAGACCGACCATCCGCTTCGTGGATATACACGAATAGTGGCTCGAGTTGTGTGGCCGCCGTTTGCTGCTGCTTTCTCCTCGTAATTCTAGCCCGATCGTATTTTTAAACGAGTTTGTCCATTTCCGATCCCCAGTTCAATTTAAAGCTTTTCCTGGTTCGCGACCAGATCGAACATTATAAAAATGATCCAAGGTGAACTTCGTATGGCTCGACCAGTTTCACTGCCAAGAGTACATTTCAAGAGGGTGATCCTTGGCAGAAAATTAGTGACGTAAGTCGAGATAACGCATCTACTACTCGACACGATTGAAGACAACGCGTCTACTAGTCGTCGTTTACCACAGAAACTGCAGCCATTGGCTGTGTTAGACTGCAATAATAGCAAGAGTAGGTTTAGATTGTTTGTGTGAATTTTTATACTATTGCTGCGACACAAATTGGGATTACAGCTTATTAGAGTTTTACTAGTTGTTCTGAATTGTTCTTAATTGTTTTATCTGCGCTAGTTTGTAAACTGAGAAAACTGAGTTTAATCCTTTCACTGTAACGCACTCACGGAACTTCTTTTCGAAATAATCGTATTGGAAAATCTGCTGGATATGCGTGCAATTGAATAGGACTTGGCTCGCGTGTCTGTCCATTGCATTCTGTTTCTACTTAATACCATGACCAATGCACGCGTTTCAGATTAATTTTCAATGTCGATTTTCTCGAAGATATACGTACGCACAGCTCTGCGGTGTCGGCAATGTCGCGGCCCAAATTACGATAATTATTCGCAGCTCGAAAGACATATGAGCCTAAAGCTTTTGCAAATGGATTATGGAAGCCCCAAGCATCGACCTGTCTGTCTATCTATCGAAACCTTGCAGCATGTTTTAATTGGTGCAATGAACGCCGGATAGGGGAGAGCTCTCGCACTCGGAATGTTTTTTCTCTGCTGGCTGATTCCCTTCTGAACCAAATAATTAACCCTTCTTAGACAATGTTAACGACCCAAGGAAATTCCCATTTTTCCCGAATTTTCCTCTGAATTTTTGTTATCGTTGAAGCAAGTTTTAAGACTTTGATAAGTCTTAAAACTTATAAAGGCTTTGGTAAGTCTTATAATCCAACATTCTTTTTAGATTATTTGAAAGTCTAAAACAGTAAAAAGTGTGAAAAAATATGTTTGCTTACGGAGGGTTAAAATGACGGATTACAGATTTACTATTTTACCATTACAAGATAACGGTGCTTCTGACGGAATTTACGGTGGCCTTTAATTTACTACAGATTTTATCCAACAGTATGTTATGCTAGATAGCGTTATATATTTTGTATATTACTATATTACACAATTTAATTTAGTATACATTCAATGCTGATACTCCCAGTATTAACTAAGAACTAGAATACCAAGAAAATAGAGAAACATCTGTTTTCCTGTTTATGTAAAGTTTGACAAATAGAAGTTGTATATTTGCAAGACACAACTCTCCCTCCAGCAACGAGAAAATGAAAGGTCACTGGTGTATCGCTACCATTGAATTCAAAAGACCAGGCCAGGTTGTCATTTTCTCTATTGTCACAGTCTCTCTATCTCTCTTGAGAGGGACAAGAAAAACAACATAATACTTCAAAACTAGTACACGCGTCGCGATTGCCCCCTCCCCAGAGGAGGGGACGAGAGGTTCGCCGGCTCGTCTCGGCAGCGTTTTCCGTTCGAGTCCGGCCGGAGGGTATCTGGGTTAAGTAACTAAATCAATCAACCGGGTAGGAAGCGGGGCAACGCAATTAGCAGCGAGGGGGGAGGCGTTCTACGAATCTGTCAGGTTTTAGAGAATCGTTCGTAGGGGAACGTGAGTCGTCTCGTATCGACGTTTCCATCGTAGGTACGTATATACCCGGAGGCAAGTTCCGTCCTACCAACCCATGAGAAACAACGTTTTCTCCATCCTACCCTCTTCCCCCATATAAAAAGAACTTCAGCTGCACCCAAGACCGTTTCAGTCCCGTTTATTGGCACCTTTGGTGGAAGTCGACGCGTTACGTTGTCTCCTTTGTGTGGAAAAAAGATGGAGGCTGACAATGGAAACGGGGGGTGGCCCTGTTTTCTATGCGATGCGTTCACGGATGAACCGTTCTTGTCACCCGCAGATACGATTGAGATTCACCCCCCTCTCTTCAATGGTCTGTACGCTGTTAGCCGGATATTTAGATTTTATCGTCGGTTTAGCTCACTGTAGCTCGTTATTTCTCATCGACATTGACGGCGCGACCTCTAGTTGGTACAGAATGTTCCAAGAGTCGGTGACATATTCGAAATGTATTTCAAACGGATGGTTTTTGGTTGAATAGTCCAAATGGAACTGGAGTTAAGGGGGGGGGGTATAAGGTTAAGGTTAATTACTGAAGACCCCACGGTTTAAGGTTATGTTACAAATGTACGTGTTCACACGTCACTGAATGACCAATTCGAATCTCAACGACGAATTACTATCTGAACCATGTATCCGACGATTATCATCCGTCTAACCTGGTCCATTAATTCTGTATTGCAGCAGCTCCATTCAGAGTATAGGAGCACGTACACATGGCACGAGTACACTGGGCCGCACCAAGAGCATACGGTCGTTCGTCGAGCGCCGCAACCACCGCCGACCTCGAGTAAGTTAACCCCGTTTTCTTCTTAACGTTTTCTCCATCTATTAAATACGGGGTGTTCCGTGCGACGAGGATCCGGCCGGGTACACGCCTCGTTGATGGAATTTGGGACAGTCGTGGGAGTGTCTCGAGGCGAAAGTAAATGGTTTTAGGTAGCCTGATTCTCCGTGCTATCCTTCTCATTCGTCCCTCTGCGTGCTGTGCTCTCGTAATTCTCGAGGCTCGGTCAGATGTACATGTTTGTTATACAGTTACAAAGTAATAAGGTTCATTTGAACCAACAGAGAAATGCAATTTGCGCCTGTTCCCTTTTCTACAGAGAACGTTATTACGCTCTGTCGCTAATTCTTTGTCTTCCGTTGGTATACCCTTTATTTTCTTACTGTTCTGCTTTACGTAACATCAAAGATATAGAATTATTGCTAGCCAGTAATGATAGATTGTCATGAATCAAAATTCACGTCAATGATTAAACTTTTGAAGATTCACTATTTTGTCTGGGACATTCTAGTATGTCTTTACCTGTATTCTTTGTAGATATCGAACAAATTATATCGGATCAAGAAAATTATTTCAAAAGGGAATTCTTACAAGATGTTTCTAAGATTATTGTAAGAAACGTATCTTTGATAACCGTTTAATCTCGCCTTCGAATAATCTCACTCGGTCCCAAGTCGTCTCTGATCACGAGAGACTCGGGCACGGAGCACGCTGTACAATTTCTCCTCCTCACGATCTAGTCTCATCAGTCTCCTAATCAGTACGATAGTCTCATAGCTACATCGTGGCGTAGTTGGGCTAGGTGTGTTGTCTGAGCAAAAGCCTGCAAAGAAAGTTTAATTGGACGGGGGCAAATCGGATTTCTGCGGGACCGAGAGAGGAGGCGACCCCCAGGGGGGTCGCGCGAGACGAGAAAACGAATTTGCTCAGGCATTCATACCGGTGTTGGTTAAAGGTTAACTGTCTCCACGAATTCGTTAGAATCGCGCGTGGGTCATTCGAAAAGTTCTCGTCGAAAAAAGACAACTTGCATAATTCTTGAAATATTATTATTACCGAGCTATACTCTTAATTTTGTAGACCAACGTTCTAAAAACACTCTCGAAACACTTGCATTTGAATTCGCTATCTAGTCAACTGTCAGAGGACACGACACATGACGTAAAATTACTTTTTTTTAAATTTGTTTATTATCGCATCGACTAACGATCATTCTCTTCTAATCCTAGTCAAATATATGTATACAGTAAAGCTTGTCCTATATTGAAGAATTGCATATAACACGAGACAGTCTAGCTACCTCAAATGATAATATTGTAAATTAGTCGAAATTTTTGACTAATTTCGAGCTCTCCATGAAAATCTTCGTTGAACACGAAAAATTTCCACACTATCCACTCTATATTTCACTCCGAGAACTTGTCAAATGACCGACGTATAACCAAAGCAGCGAGCGTGAAAAAAAAAAGAGCAGCGCGCGTTTCGCTCACACGTGGTATGCTCGGTCGCTCCCCCCCTCCCCCCCCACTCCAGTTTTTCGCGCTTAAATTCCTCTCGGGGGGGATGTAGATAACGCGGTACGAGCAATTAAAAAAAAAATCGTTCGTTAACCCGCGAAACGCGCGCGGCTGCACATTGAATACCGAGGATCGACGTACGGTATCGCGGCATACTCGGGGATGTTTCGGTACTGCCGAAATGATTTTCGCTTAGCGCGTCTCGTATTACCGGTCCACGTTAAAAAAAATAGATATATATATAGTATATTCACGCTCGTCACTCTCGGAGCTCTTCATGATTATCGATCAACACCCCCTTCTCTCACGTTTTTTCATACAAACTTCTCCTCCCTTTTTTTCTAGTATTGTTAAAGGTGTATTAGTGATTTTTTCTTTGATCGTGCTACCACTTCGTGTATATTATACATATCTCGTTTCGATATATCGCACACGCTCTGTCGTCACGTTTTCACATACACACACACATCTCACCCGTCCGGTTCACACACACCATATGTCTCACCAAACGTGACTCTGTACACCTCTCATTAAGTATGTATAATATTTTCTTTCACTACCGATTTATTACACTGAACTCGAAGAATAAGTACAGTAAATCATCGATAAGTGCTTGAAGGCTCTTAACTGGTTCCACGGGGGACCCCCAGTAGTGGTGATGATGTCTGAACACTTATCGATTATATTTGTACAAACATACACCGGGAGTGCGGAAAGGAGAGGCGTACCATCGCCAGAATTGAATGAAACGTATATGTACATAACCTCTCCAAATTCACTGTGTCTTCGTTCCAAATATACATTTCGGGGACAAATGTAATTTATATTTCATCTATTTTTTTCCACTGAATATTGTACTTCTGTGAATCATAAAGGCTTTATTATCTGCTGTCCAGAATAAAAATTGCAGATCCATCTACAGAATTTTTTAACGTGAAATCAATAATCTGTCAACTCGTGTCGTAGAAAAATCCGCACTCCCAAACTCACACACGCACAAACAAACACACTCGTTCATCCGTGTCGATGTTGTGAAACTTCACTCTTTTATTCTTCCTTTTGACTTTCGTTTGAACACCGATGTCAGTGTGTGAACGTCCCTGCGCTTAAATCAGACGCCGGTAGGCACGTGTCCGCCTAGACGGTCCGACCTAGCGGGCCCGGAATGTGTTTCACCTCATATCCATCGTCATCATGGTCGTGTCATCATCGTGCCGCGATGCACCCTGGGACCTATACACAGAAGATGATCTCGAGAGACGGTCCGCGACGACCACCGATCCTGGGTTCCACGGTGAAAACGATTTCGACTCGAGAACTATAGAGTCCAGTTATCGGTTATCGATAGCCGCGTGGCGAGACAGGGGAGAGGTAAAAAAACAAAACGAAACAAAAAAAAACACGGGCAACATTCGCGAGTAATTTCCACGTCCGATTTGGCAACACGACTTTGCCCGCGGAGATCGACGGTAATTTCAAGCCTATACAGGGTGTAACAAAAATGTTGGTGGACTCGGAAATGAGAGACTCGTGAGGTGATCTCCAACATTTTCGTTACACCCTGTATAGTTTTGAAGTGATCGGATCGACAGACCGGAGAAACGGCGCGTAGAGTGAGTGAGAAAGAAATGAAGAGAGAGAGAGGGGGGGCAATGGGGAAATGTGTAGAGAGAGAGAGAGAGAGGGAGAGAGAGAGAGAGAGAGAGAGACAAGCAAGTGAGAAAAAAAGAGAGACACGGTGTGCCCAGCTGCGAATTTTGATTGCAGCGACGCAAGCGAGCGCGAAGCTACAATCGGCCAAGTCGACCGAGGATGAGAACAACGAAGGTAAGACGGAACACGATCGGGGAGGCCAGCTCTACGCCCGAAACATCTCTATATCATTTATACACGGTTTATTTCGCTCGTTGGTTATTATCTTTTTTTTCTTTGTTTCTTTTTTTCAATCGCTCCCCCTCTCCTGCCACACGCTCGCCCAACAACCCCGGGGAATTTCCGCCGGCCTTGTTCTAATTTTCCCTTTTCTTTTTTTTTTTTGCCCCACCCCAAACACCGTTCTCTCTCGCCCATTTTCCGTGACGCGCGGCGCGTCGAACCCTTTCACCCCATCGCTGCGCACCAATTAACCCTTCGCGTAACTTTCGCTTTCAGAGATCGCTAGATATGCATATACATGTATGTACCCTCACAAACAAACTCTACTTCCGCTAGGGGAAAAAGTGACGTAGGGGAAGAGCCTCCTACCAACTACTCATACAAACTCATACCTACTTGGTAAATATATTTCAAGTGCTGAAAGAAATATTAAACCCAATTTCAATTTGTCATAAAGTTCAGTAACTCCCGAGATCAAGTGATAGGAAGCCTTTACCTACGCTGCATTTCCCCTAGTAATGAAGCTGAGTTTGCTCGTCAGTGTATACGCCTACCTTCGCCACGATCTCGAGCCACTAACGCCCTCCCCCCCGGGGTCATATGTACCTGTACCCGCTCGAATGGTTTTGACGACGCATGTGGCCTGGCTGCTACTACTGCTGCTGCTTGCGGTTGATCATTTGTCGGACTTGGTTCGCGTTGACGACGATCATCCACCGTGATCATCGTTAATCTTTGTCTTGTGATTAAATAGATTTGCGTTCCGTTGACAAAAATGTGTAGATCCTAATGATTTTCGTTTTTATAGATGAAATCTATTCCGATCCGTGGTATTGCTTACATTTGAGGTTTGTTGGTTAGTGACCGCGATATGTGCCCGGACAACCTAAAATCGTACGTGTCAAGATGTTGCTTAAACTGAACTGAACGAGGTAGAAGCATACATTCCGCGGTGTGTATGTGTGTGTGTGTATGTGCAGCAGTTAGAAACAACGAAGTTCACTTACTCGAGGAACAATACAGGTCTGTCCTTGCCGGAGACTCGATACTTTCGTCCAGGATAGATAAGTCTCCGCGATAAGTCTAACAATAGCCGAGGGTATAAATTATACCGGTCAGAGCTACAACTTTTACGTATATGACTATAGACATCCTCGAAGAAACAAAGGAGGGCAATACAAGATGTGCAAGTGGCGTAGAATTGACTATAGCCTCTTGATACATTAGCCTTGAGCTTCATTCGGTCTGACACATAAAAATGTTTTCGTTTGTATTTACAATCTCGTCGAAAGTTACACGATAATTTCATCGATCGAAATAAAGTAATATCGTACCTCAATAACAAATTACTATTGGAAGCCAAAACAGGGAATCAATAACAAAACAAAACAAAAAGACGATATTGTTCCATATCGACTCCGCTATACCAACTACTGAACACCCTGTACATTTGACAATAATGGCGGATTATTCCAAGATCATAAAGAATTTCCACTTGCTTTCGTGTTTAGCAAGCATAAAACAATAGAAAAATCTAATTGCCTCGAGAGTCGAACTGTCTATCCAAGGTCGAAAGTTCACGATATCCTCGAAGTAAGGGGAGAGATAAAGGCCCCCAGGAAAATATTCCATTCTTACATAACCAATAACGCTACCCGGGATGATCAGGGGGAGCCTCAGCGCGAACCAAGTCCAAAACGGTTTCAATATCTCCCCACCTATATTCTATCCGCGTTGCTTCCCCTAAAAGTTTTGCGCCGAATCTCGTTGTCCCGGAACGTCGTTCCATCGACTGTTCTCCTTCTTGTAAATAAGTCCTTGGTATGCTTGGCGCATCGATCTATACGTTCACCCTGTGGGGAGCAGGAGGAGGGACGCAGGTCCCGGGACACAGGCGGAGAAAAGAACAGAGTTGTACCAGAGGCAGAGTTGCAAGTGATAGCTACTCTAAACCAGAAACTTTGCGAAATTTTGTAGTGATTTAGGGGTCTTGTCTCGCGTAGACAGACAACATGTGCGCCTAAAACACCGTGTAGCGCTTATTGGTACTAATTCGGGGCGACATTATTATATGAATAAATACATATACAATAACATAAATATATAAATTTGTACAAATGGAGGCTCTGTCCCTGGTTAACTCTGGTTCGAATCGCGACGATCGAAGGTGCATTCCCGTCACGATACGAAATTGCTCGGAGTATACGTCTCAATTTTATCGAGTCTTCCCGTGTTCTCCTCGGGAGCATATTGTGCACACCGAGGAGACGAGCCCTTTATCTTCCGGCCGAGTAGATAGAGCCCAGATAGAGCACGCCCGGCGCTTCCGCATTTGCCCTCTCCCCTTCCCAACCCCGCACGAAAGTTTGCACAGAAGTTCGCTACGCGTACATCGGTGGCGCTGTTCAAAGCTTCACTCGCGATTAAATGGAGCCTCGTGAATCGCAATTAAAACGGGAACCAAGAGGACGTGTTAATAAAACTACGATTAACACGTTGACTGCGCCCAGTGTGGAGATCACACTGACGCGACGACGGGTAATTTGTGATTTTTCAAATGGCGCCACGAGGATCATCCAAGTTACTTTGATATTTTGGTATAATTCTTGTGCGGTGCAAATTTCGCGTTTGTGTTCTAGGTAAGATACAGGGTGTTAAAAAAAAGGGGTAGGATAGGTTAGGGTAGGTTAGGGTCTAAAACTTTATTTAGGACCTTCACGGTGATTAGACTTTTTTATTCTCGTCGATAGAGCAAGTAGAATCGCATTTCAGCTGCGCAGTCCGCGCCCGGAAGCCTTTTTTGTCGCTCGAAGATGCGACCTAGACTGTTCTTTAGCTCTGCCGCATCCCCTGCCGCCGCCTGCACGACAATAATGTTACTCACACGGTGCTTGGCTGTGTGTGTTTCTCTCTGTGTGCACGGGCTAAATACTTCGGACGAGACTGGAGTTCGATCGAGATATCCGACACGGCTATTTGTCCGATAGCGAGCAGTTATCGAGACATTTTGCTTCTAGACGTTGTTGATCTGCCAATCTAACCCATCCTTGGTTCACGAGCGTGTGTGTTGAGTTCACGATGTTTATTTTGCACATCTGACTTGTTTTCTTTCCCTTCTGTGATAGAATACTTGGTTTCCGGTTGTATCATCTGGGTCAGATTTAGTAACGGCTCTAGGATTTCCTGTGACCATACACGGACACATAGTTTCTTTATAAATATCTGCTTTGTACCCATTTTGGTACACACAAGTACTTAATATCTTGAACGTACTCTTGCGACACGGTCTCGTCCGAATCAACCCAGTAAGGATGCGCCCTCCCCTTGGACTTCAGGCCGATTGTAGCGATTAATCGTTGCAAATTAGACCCCAGCGACGTGTCCCAGCGGTGTTCAGACCCACATTAACACCCGCGAAGAAATCACGTCCCTCGAAAAGTGTCCCGATCCATGGAACTACGACGATTAACCCTTTAAATGTCTTGTTTCATATTTATTTCATTTGCTATGAAATTGAAATAAATTTTAATAAAACGACGCGATTACCCCTACGACTTAAACACCATCTATTGTCAAAAAAAATGTCACTGTCGTACATATAGTGCTGAATATTTATTTTTTTGTTCGAGTGATTTTTTGTTCTCTGTATGTTTCCTTTTGTTTGTCCTAAAATATTCTAAAATGTGTTAAAATGACGAATATGTTTTTCGTTTTACCTACATTTTACTAACAGCAAATGCAAATTTTTTGTTTGATGACGAGTATACTCATTATGAAACAAAAGATACCTTCTTTTCATGATGATTACACTCGACATAAACATTGAAAGGGTTAAAATCGTCCCCACAATCGGGCGAGACAATCACCCGAGACGAGAGACAATTAATCTCGGTGTTACCCCCGCGCGCGCGCTAGGCCATGTGCCAGGGGCGATCGTGTCGCCGTGTAATGAGCGACGAATTCAATTAACGTCGCCGTCACGGGGGAACGTGTCCCTGGAAACGCGTACGAACGATATTCAGAATGGATTCGCGATCGATTCCCCTGAATTTCCCTGTTCCCATTGGCTTTTTCATCATACAGAACAATTCGAGAAAAAGTGTTTAAGACTTTAGGGCCTTGTAGGGTGGATGGACCAATGAATGAATATTATATATAAAAACCGAGTAAATTAAGGTATTAAAATAAGCAGCTGATTAAATATTAATTTTTTTCAACTCATTATTCCATACTCAAACAATTTTCGCGCCATTGGTTAGACATGTTCGTTTACTTAATGTTCTTCGTTCACCGGTGAAATCTGCATTTTTTGGCTGGCAACCGTTCACCAAGCATCGATTGACACGATACCGAGACTTTTATCGCGGCCGGATAGTCTTTAATTTCACGGAGCAAGACAACCAACCGACTCCGTGGTGTTTCGGAAGACTCTGGCCGTAGCCGCCGGTGGCGCGACCCAGTTTTTCGAAGCGATTACGCTTTGTTCGCGCTGAAAATTATTCCTCCCTACCCCGTTACTCCTCCTCCTCCCTGTCCGACCTGTTTTCACCCGGCTGCCAAGACGACTAACCAATGTTTGCCGACGTGCGTGCTGCTCCACATACGGAAAGAATCGACGAGTCAGTTTTTCGTTGCGGACCTACGACACGGCTATTTTAAAGCCGTGGATCGATTAACGGAGACCTTTCAGGGGAACACCCCGTGAACTTCGAATTCCCACAAGCGCGTCGTATCGAGGGACGGAGTTGTGGTTTAAGTACAGGGAACCCCCGTGTAACACGCTAGTAGTCCCCGTAAAGGGTGGTTTTGTACTGTACGTTCAGAACACGGAACGGATTACGGGACGGTTCCGTTCAGACGAATATTCTTTAATCCTTTTGGTACCTTACAATTCTTTTGTGTAACATCTAGAAGTAGTAAACGATGGCCTCTATAAGAGACGGAACGGAATA